TTGGTGCTCTCCCGTTCCTTGAAACTTTGATGCAAGGGGAGTGGTAGCGAACATGCAGGGAACAAATTTTGAGAGTAAGTACGTGCCTTTTTTACTTACTTGTACCTACTTAGCTAAAGCAACGTTACATTTCGTGCAACCTTGAAAAAGCTTGGCGTACCATGATCACTGTATCTAATTCTTACATTCATACAATGGACGTTGTTTTGCCGAAAATACCCAGACCAGCCAACTTTGTAGAATTCTTGTTTGGAATAATGTTTTAAATTATTTACGCCGTCTGTTTATTCATGCACATACATTTCGTGGCGGCGTCCATCCATGTGCTATTAAAATTACCTTGTGGATATCTACAGTTACTCAGATATTATTTTGAGTATTTTGTTTCTACACTATTTAAAATTTTCAGCTTTCAAGTGTTGTTCATAAGCGCAGTTTTGATTGTTCAACGAATATTCAGTTATTCAACATTGATGACAGTGATGTGGAATTTTGGGTTAAACACTGTAATTTATGTGTAAGAAGGACACACTTATTTTCACTTGCATACAATTTAGATTTACACGAAAATCTATATGATAATGAGTTGACTTTACTAAACACACTAGGCCCGGTTTTTTGATTCGTAGTTAAATTAACCAATAGTCAAATTTGACAGATGTCAAATGACAAGTGGTTAAATATCAGAAAAAAATGTTTTTCGAACACAAAAGTGTTGACATTGCAATTAGTTAAAACAAAAGTTTAGTCGGATGCGATTTAATTAGTAGGGGCTCTTTAATTACATCGTAATTTTGTAGAACCTTTTTGTTTGTGAGGGTTCCCTGTTATTTGCTGCGATATAATGTGGGATGTAATAAAAATAATTGATTGATTATAACATTTATCACACAGTTTAAATTATTAGACAATGGTCACAATATTTTCACGCTTGTACTTTTTAGTGTTGAAAATGTAATGACAAATGGTTGTACTTACTGACAGAACAATTCGTCACGTTTGCTCTTTGAATATGATCAAAGAAACTGCCCGGTCATTTACCGCGCTCTTTACAGCTAGAAAATTCATCGCCCTTGTCGTCTATTCAAAATTGTTTAAGATTTGACCCTTATTCTATTTTAAGTTGAATTCAATCCAAAATCTTTGACCGATTTCGAGCATGATTGATTAGGACCACGGCTGGAGGAGCGTTTTATTCATATTTTAAGCCACAATAATACGTAATCTTTTTAGAGGTTCATTATTTACTAGCTTTCCGCCCGCGGCTTCGCCCGCGTGGAATTTTGTCTGTCACAGAAAAACTTTATCGCGCGCGTCCCTGTTTCAAAAACCGGGATAAAAACTATCCTATGTTCTTTCCCGGGACTCAAACTATCTCTATGCCAAATTTCATCAAAATCGGTTGCGAGGTTTAAGCGGGAAAGCGTAACAGACAGACAGACAGACAGAGTTACTTTCGCATTTATAATATTCTCTAGTTAGTCTCTCTAGTTGGGATTTAAATAGGTTCTAGATTAAAGATCTATTTTGCCATGGATGCTCAAGCTTTGTGTTGTCGGACTTGTGATAACTTTAACAAAGCAGCTTCTAGAACGGAAGCATCGCAACCGCAAGGAAGTATTTTACACGCATCCACAGTTCCTCAAAGCCCAGTATCACATCGCACGAACAATGTAGCCGGGCCAGTGAGAGCCGCAAGGGTCACGTTCGTGTATCGAGTTACCTGCCCCGACATTATTCTCTCTGCTGTTCAAGCCACGTAAAAAAACTGTAACTAACTCGCGTGTATGTAGAGAGGCACGACTTGCTTTGTTCGAGACGCACCCCGGCTGCGGGGCATAAAAACCTGTTCCCGAGTACTTTTAACAAGACAACAAAAGCCATGAATTGTTCGCGTTGATAGGCCCCATCGCTGTATGGTGCTCGGCGCTCGCCCTGTCGAAGGCCCTAATGAAATTGCGAAATGGACATGATTTTAAAAGTTTTGTAATGTTTAAAACTAAATAATGTGGTACACCGGATATGCTATCACATCATTCGCGGATGAACAAATCGCATTTCTGGCACAATGCTCTCGAAAGATAATTATCACTATCAGCGGAACGGAATACGTTTGAAAATGATATTTTGCATTGCAGTTATCCGTTCTGAATTCTCTTGGTAGCCAAGAGATGGTATGCAGTATGCATTTTTAAGTACAGAAGAATTTTCTCTCAAATCTCTGAAGTGATGGTTTAGATTGAATATTCCAACTTCGAGCATACCTTATTGTACCTATATTTCCTTATTTATAAAGTAAATTATCTTGCCTGTGATCAATAATAATATAATCGTTTACGCATTGCTGCTATGATTTCTCGTCATGTTGCTTTCTTATAATCAAAATGTATAAAATGCTGACAATATTTTCAAGCATCTTCATCTTGAAGTGTGAGCTGATAAAATTTTAATTCCTATATTTATGAATGCCGTAGCTATAAAAAGCAATTAAATGGTTATTCTTTAAGCTAGTTTGGACGGAATCAAGACGTTAAAGTATTTAATGAAGAATGTTTGGGTGACAAGCTATTTGATGAATTAGAAGAAACGGGAATTATAAGTGACTTGTCAACACTGATGAGTCATTACCAATTAGAACGAATAAGCTATTGAACTAACCGTTACAAATTAATGACACCTTATCAAAATGACATGACACCTATACTTTGATTGTTAGATCCCGAGTCCTTGTACCTTGGGAGGTGACTGTTCGAAACGCAGACCGAACCAACCCTAAGAAAGTTGGTTGCTCTGATCGGGCGTTACACCCGCGTCCCTTGGGCCTTGTCACAGATTTCATATTACAAGATCTGATTGAATCACGCCCAATATTATCGACGAACGCTTATTTTTATTCTCCCACTGATAGTTTTTACGGCTTGTCGTTACGTGGCCTGTTATCTCGTATGAAAGTAAGAGTGCTATTGCGCCATTAAACGTGCCATATCCGAATAGATGTACTCCCATATTTATGTGTGAATATTATTTATCATCTCCTTTTTTATCTTTCATTCATCTAAAATACTTATCTTATTTATAAAGATATCACAAATAATTATTGTCAATACAGTCGTTTCTCTTCTTCTTCTACTGAATAAATACTTTTAAATGTCGGACAGGTGTGGTGGATACCATAACCCCTTTTAATCGATCGTTCATAGTGCTAAATTTAGTCATCTCGGATATCACGCAGACCAGAATCAGATATTGTACGCAAGAAATAATATAGGCTCTATTGCAAGGTTTGCATTGGAGTCAGTGCATCCAGTGTTGCCCTCTCGTTCGCTAAGGGGAGACTTGGGTGCGAGACTGAAACAAAAAGTCAGGTTACGCCGCCTAAGCCTGACGGCGCCCGCCCGCCCAGTCACAGTCGGTGCGCCGCCCTGTGTAGACTACCACATTTTTGATATTGACATCAATTTTGTGAATATTTACATCAGATTTTCTTAATTAGTTTACGTGTCAGAAAAGTTAAAGGTTTTTTTGTGCCTTTAGATTGTGCAATCTGATCGTAGTGATGGATTGGTAAGGATATTAAAATTGTTTGTATTATTTACTGTTTTATGTTTGTCCAATCATTTTAATACGGATTCGAATCTGATAACAGTGGTCTCTTATCTTTCTGTGATATTAAAGTGACCTATTTTTTGGAAAAGTATTATTAGTTGTTTTTAATAGTTTCTATTAATCTCGGAATCTATGTTTTATCATAAATTACTGTATTTGGGACAGCTTTAAATTGAAATTTATTACTGTCGAGGTCGCTTATGTCTAACGTAATGTCAATAATGTAATCTCATTTCACGCGCCGTTAAATATATTTCATATTTACGTGTAGGTCGCAATTCCAACCTTAGCATCAACATTACACGGTTACGATTCTGTTACACCATACGAAATTACTTGCAGTGCTTTATTATGATGACGCATACTAAGAATCAAGGCTATGCTAGTTCATTCATATGACGTGACCCAATGATGAAAAATTATTACTATTATAGTATGATGTAATAGCAATAGACGTTCCATTCGAATCATAGTGGACAATAACAATAAAAAATAATTATGGGCTAACTTAAGTGCCCTGCGACAGTCCATCAAAATTTTTGTGCAACTTCATTCCATCCATTGTCATTGTTTTCTTTCAACAATGGGATTCACAACTTGTAACTTTAATCATTCTTCGATTCTGTTTTACACAACGAGGTAATTTCTGTGAAAAGGATAAGGTCCGTGTTTTCTCAACCTTGCTTCAATTACGCGTCGAGGAAACAAAAGGTCTTGTTCCGAGATTTTTTATCTGAGCTTTTTCTGCTGTCATCAGCACGCACTCCGGCGGCGGATGACGCCTCTCGTGCCGTCGATTGTTGTTCAGAGGAAAGGGGTGACACCCTCCCACGCACTTTTCTTCACTCAAGTGGAAACTCCATACACGTTTTATAATAGCTCTGACATAAACCTCAGATTTAGCGATACAATGTATATAAACAACACACACAACACAGTTTACCTACAATATATTACTAACGAGCTACAATATACTCATACGCCTACATGTTAATCTGTTTATTAAGGTAGGGCTATATGTATCACATTACATAACCCTTTCATTTCAAACCCCTACGACTGCACCAAATTACCCCACGTAATTATTATGGGTTTCAAAGGAGGGTGCGGTTTTTTCTGTGGACATAATTTCGCAACAGTAGGGTTACTGTGGGTTTACGTAAGATTATACGTTCACAATATGTTTTGGTATATCCAGTACAAGTACATTCAATACTTTGTTGTTTCTTCAAGATTGTACCACTTGCATTTTGTAATACACATTATTATTCTTCCTTCTGGAGAACTGAAGACCTTCTCTGGTATTAATATCATCTGGTCTTTTTCTTCCCCAGGTAGTTCTTTGCTTCCATTCATTTATTATTATTAATCATGAATATTTTGTTTTGTTACAGTTCACGGCCTGGGTGGACGCGGTGATCTTCGTATTTAGCCTCGACAACGAAATCAGTTACAACACTGTATCAAATTACTTCAATAAGATGTCCCACTATCGGAATTCCGCTGAGATTCCAATCATATTGGTCGGGACTCAAGGTGAGTTGATAAGAAATACCATTGACACATAGCATTGCGTCCAATAAAATACATATTGATGTATCATGTACGTAACATACCCAGTACATCGTGTGCATGTAATGAAATATTAACGTAGCTGGTAAAAAACTGACACATTTGAATGAAATTAAAGAAAACAGCTCTTCAATGAATACTAATAACACTAGTTTACAAGGTTTTTTACCCAGAGATGTAACTGATATGTATCGTTAGAGTTATTAACCCTTACTTAAAAACTGAACTTAGAAAAAAATTAGGACGTCAAATTTTGTAAATATTGATTATGTTAATTTTTATCATTTTTATACATTTATTTCTAAAAACAACCAAAAATGAGTCGTATTACTCCTACTTTTATATTAATTAGTATCAGTTTCCCTTATTATAGACCAACAGCAATCCGCTAACATATTTTTATCCCAAATTCCTTGGTATCTTTCCTCAAAAACCTTCAAATCCTAGTGAAAACTTTCGCCATGCTCAACACTCACGCTTCCCAGGTTCTTAGGAAAAAAATCCAGGTGACAATTTAAAAAATGAATTTTTAACGACTTATTCACACCCATTCTTTGGTAATTCCTCAATAATTTGGAAACAATTTTTGCATAATTCTCAGATAAATTTATAGTTTCCCAGGAAACTTTTCACTACTCGTTTAAATTAATATCAAGCATCTTTCCCTTACTGGAATTGCTGGGTAATAACTCCTTCAGATTGTAGCAAAGGTCTTGTGACTGATGCAACATCAAGATATTGTATCTTCTTGGTTTTTGTTGTTAAAACCTGTAGTTTCAGTGAGGCAGAAGTAACAGACATTCGTGTGATTTGTTGGTTCTCTCCATAACATTGGGATGCCAATTCGTATATGTTTTCTTTTTCCTGCAGCCTAGTGCAATAATATACTCTTCAAATTTTCGCACACTACACCAGGAACCCATTTTTTATCAGGTTTGTTACCGAGATTAGAAAGTAATAGAAATAGGCCGGTTTTACGGCCTTAGTGACTAGTCTCTTCTTTTTTGACAATATAATTTGGCCACAAACTTAGCAAAAGTTATTTGGGCTTAATTTACACTGCCTTGGTGACATTTTAAAACAAGTGAAAATGTTAAAATAATACTTAAACGCAATTAAAATAAAGTAGAAACTCCGTCACGGCTAACAAGACAGCTTACTTAGGTAAATGTGGATATCTCAAAAACTTGACGTGATAAAAATATGAGACGTATATTTTTGTAATAAGGGGGCTGATAGAAAACACATCCAATATGAATTATCTTTGGGTAAAAGAAAAACTTTTTTTTTGTAAACTAGTGTAATTTGATCATTTTCTATAAAAGTTTTGCAGCTATTTATAACAACAAGCTATGAAAAAGATAATCCAATACACGTTTTCTTTGATTACCTACTCTTGATGATGTGAACTATGCATTACCAGTGATTCTCACACCACCTCTCATAATTCTGATGATTGGTGCTTGCGGTATATCGCTCTGTAATTTGCAAGTACGAGTGAACATTTTATAGAATTTCTAATAATTTCCTTTTAAACGATCGGTTGCTTGTAGATGCCATAAGTGAAAGTAGTCCACGCGTCGTGGACGATAACCGTGCGCGCAAGCTGTCGAATGAACTGCGAAGATGCTCATACTACGAAACGTGCGCCACGTATGGGCTCAACGTCGAAAGAGTTTTCCAAGATGGTAAGTTTCACACTTTTTTTCTATATTCTCCGTCTAATACAGCTTTGTTAACAATAAGCATTTTTAATTGAAACCTCTTACAAACTGATTACACTTACTAATTAATCGTCTACCATCATTTTGTTATTAATTAGCGATCGTTTATTAGCGCAGGTGCCTTGTCTAGTAAATTTTGTTCATTTGATATTTTAAACTTTTACGATTGCTTACGAATTCTGCACTTTTTGTCGGAAGAAATAAATCGATTTGCAACTTTATGTAAGAGTAGGTATTCCAATTAAATAGTTGTTATTTTTTGCGAAGTCGGTTAGCGTTCGTTATTACTTATACTAGAAACATGATGTCATTTCAATCTGGTTTGGTTTGATGTCTGGAATGCCGACGCTATTTACATAACTTCATTGTCTTTTGCTGTACCATTGACAAATTTATTTTAATTAAAATTGTAACTCAACATTGTTACGTATAAAATTTGAAGGAACTGCTTGTTTATTAATACGTATACCTAAGAATTGTTTATCAGAATTATACTGAAATACATTACGAAAAATAATAATTCACTTATCAATAACTGCAGCAATCTTAAGCTTTGAAATACGGATAAGAGAAAAATATATATTTAGTTTATTATTAACGGTATAAATTATGACAATATGTTTGATAAAAACTAATTCATTCTTTTGCACTTGTGTTAAGAGCGCATCATACGCGACGTCATTATTAGAAACGGCTTGTAAAATTACATAACATTCTGAGTTTTTTATTGCTTTCGGCACGCGTGCCGCGATGACTATAGTAGGTTTACTTACAAGCTGTTGATCTTGTTCCGTCCCGCGGGGAGTTCTTCATTCGTGCAGTGGTAACACCGGCCCCCAGCCGCGCGGTCGTTCGGTCGTTCACTCAATCGTTCGGCATTGTTTACATTTTTTTGACATTTTGCTACGCTTTGTTTGGCCGTGGTCGCGTCGTCTGTAGCGATATTTTAATTGAATTTGAATTAATTATTTAGTTATGATGGATAAAACGTTAATATTCAAATCGAATTTGTCACCGATATCCAGTTTACGACGCCGAAGTTCGTGTTACAACATACAAAGAGCCGAGGAACGCGATCGTAGGAAATCGGCAAAATTTGAATGTGCGTGAATTTTCTGTGTAACGTTTGGTTTGTTTTCATGCCGTTGTGAATTGTTGTGTGTCGCGTGTGGAATGTTAAGTGGTGTTTGTTAAAATAATGGTATATTTGCAGCGTGCCAGAAGATTGTTGGGACAAGGCTGTCGGCGTCGTCGCAATGCCTTTCTGGTGGGTCCAGGCCCGTGACTCCTCAGCCCCTGGCCAACTCTCCCAGTCACAACCATTCTACGTTTCTATACAAGGTTTGTGCATCGAAAAAATACTTTCCTTCCTCATAATTCTTAAAATAGGCAGTCAATTCCTTCACGCCTCATTGCCTCGTGAGTAGGTGGCGTTGGTAAAATAAATTTAGTTTTATTTGCTAAAACAAAGGAATTGTTGCTTTGCTGTGAGAAATTACAATAAGATATTTGTATTTTTACGATTCTTAACTATTTTGCTTAATTAGGTGTTAATTCTTTGAATCCTAAGTTATTTTAATTAGTTGTTAATTTCCGTGGAATTAAATACTTTAAGAGAAACATTTTTGGCATGAGATTAGTCAATTTGCTTAATTACCTAATTGAAGTAAAAATCTACTGATACTAGAATTAATTGACACCAATAGGTACCTAATCTTCAACCTTGAGTTGAGGAATTTTAACATTGAGCATTTTCTGTTGTCGCAACCTTAATTGTATTTTTTGTGCTTTTCTCCAACAAACAAGTTTCACTTGTAATGAAATGCATTTATTCTATACCATGTCCGCACTGTCATTGGAAAACTGTATATAAATTGTTAATCGATTAAGTCCTTTTTTGGTATTGTGTGCAGTGGTCACCATACCTAAGTTATTTAAAAAAATAATTGTATACAATTAGCACCATTGAAAATGTGCTTACATTATCTCCTTGCTAAACAAAACACTGCAAGGTTCTTTTAAATTAATAATGTAGTAACTTATGCAGTTACCTTATTCTTAAACAACTTTATTAGTTAACTGTCTTTCCGTTTCTAAATAAAGCTTAAAACAATAGATCGTACAACTTGTTTCCGTATAAAATAATCAGGGTTCGAGGATATATATTAGAGATGAAACGGATATCCGGCAACTATCCGGTAGGCCGGATATCCGGCCTAAATTTACTATCCGGCCGGATACCGGATAGTAACTCACTATCCGGCCGGATACCGGATATTTAAAAACTACGACAATTTCCTATTAATAAAATGAAATACATTAATCTTTGAGGCAAATATCAATAAAATGGCTTATAATAATGACAGCTTTTATTTAAAGTCCAAAAAGTTACAAAAAAGCCATTCTTCAAAAAGCCTTTCAAAAAATTTCTTTTTCTGGGATATTCACTCTAATGACGAATACATAAACAGGGTGGCCCAGAAGAAAATTCACTTTTGAAAATTGAAGGAAACGAAAACTGTACATTTTTACAAAACCTTAACTATTGCAATTTGAAGGAAAAATGTAATTTATTTTTAAATTTACCTTAACATTCGATCAACATACATAAAAATCTTGAAATGCGTTCGTTAGAATTACCTCGAAACCTATTTACGATTTTTTGCCGAATGCTCAGCTTCAGTTGCTGCATGTTTGTTGGATTATAAAAGTATACTCTATTCTTAATGTATCACCACAAAAAGAATTTTCTGGAGTGAGATCAGGGCTTCCTGGTGGCCAGGAGATGTCACCCCTGCCTGAAATTATTTTTTTGTGGGAACATGTCTCTTATCATCTAAATGCTCTCATTTTAAGTGTGACACGTAGCCCCATCTTGGTGAAACCAAGTGCTCCGGTCATAGCCTTGCGAATCTTGCAGCTTTAAAAATCAAAAAGCTTTTCAGCCTACCAGTATAGCATTCTCAAAAATTAATCATCCTTTCAATGCAACAAACCAATTAAGCAGGGATGAAATCTCACTGCCTCTAAGAAGCGCTAATCTCATTCCAGCAGATTTCTTTTTGCGGGGTTACCTTATGAGCAGAGTATACTCTAATAATTCAAAAACTGCAGCATTCATCCATCCTGAATCCATTTCGAGGTAACTCTAACCAAAGTTTTCCAAAATTTTGATGTATGTTGACCGAATGTTGTAAACGTCAAGCGTCAACGTCAATCACATGTACGATAAAATTTATAAAAGGAAGTAAATTTTAAAATAAATTGCACTAAATTTCCTTTAAATTGCAATAGTTAAAGTTCTACAAAAAAGTACAGTTTTCGTTTCATTGAATTTTCAAAGTGAATTTTCTTCTGGGCCACCCTGCAGTAAATAATATCTGTTAATGTCTAAATATTGCCAAATAAAAAAGGCGATCTTTTTTTCACTGATGGTTTGATGGCATGATGCATGCAGTTCAGTCAGATTACGCAGCAAGTAAACTAATTTCATTTTCGCTATTCAATCACACACTCACGATAGCAACCGAAATCGCTCGAATTGATCTGCCCCCTAGACAAGTGGCAAAATCTGACATTCTATTCGGACAGATTCGATTTTCGAAAAGTGTGACTAGTCTAGTCTACTAATAGACCCACTGATCGCGTTCGAAGCACCTGTGCGGCGCTAAACTCGTCACGACATGAAACGAGACAATGGGCCAACTATCCGGCCGCCGGATATCCGGCTATCCGGCCTAGTAGCTGGCCGGATATCCGGTATCCGGTATCCGGCCAAACAACTATCCGTTTCATCTCTAATATATATCAAGGGATATATATCAAGATATATATCCGATATATATCAAGCCGGTTTTTATGATATATATCAACTTTTGAAATTTGTTACTGTATTTGTACTTTTTGACATAAGATTTTTATTTTTTTAGTTGATTTGGCCGTATTTAAAAGAATATTTTATGTTTTTGCTTTATTTGTCTGATTTTAAGTTTTAAAAACATTAAAAACATGTTTATGTAACACATATGCAATAGTATTCATGAATAATACAATAAAAAATAATACAATAAAATAATACTATGGCTTTCATACAAAATTGATATATATCAAAGTTGATATATCCGATATATATCAACTTTGATATATATCATAAATATCCGATATTTTGATATTTATAATAAATATCGGATATTTTCGAACCCTGAAAATAATTGATATCAGTTTTGCGTCCAAATGCCCTGAAAATACCGAAGTACACAAGAGAAATGTGTTATGCTGATATCTTATCAGTGATAGGCCTTTCCAAATAAAGCGATGGGAATCGTGTAGAAGAACTATTATATTGTTATTGACACGATTATTTATGCATAATTTTTGCAACTAGAACATCCTGGATGTTAATTTTAAGTATGTAATAAATACATTTTTCAATTACTTATAAAACTAGCTCTGACCAAGTAAATTGCAGTGGTTTTTAGTGTTGTACAATGATCTATGATTCAGTCAAAGAGATGTTAGTAAAAATAAACAAAATTCCAGTATAGTAAGTAGAAAAACGCAGACGATCAGGTACCAATTCTCAGCTGATTTGTTCTAGGAAAACGAAGTCAATATTAGTCATTAAGTTTCCAATAATTGTGTAAAAATATGTTTATAAATCAATACAATATAATAGATAGCAGTATCTGTTCGGATTGACCAGATTAGGGTATCTAATCTAAGTTGTGTCACATGTATCGATGGAAATTCGTATTAATCTGAAGTTGTAACGTAAACAATGTTACAATAAAAGGTTTTTGTGTTAGTAGGTAGTTCTTAAATCTGTCCTAATATCGATGTTGTCATATGTTACAGTAATAATTTCTAATCAAACTCGGAAATAATGTGTTTGTAGTGAAAACCACAATTACATATAATGTCACAAGGGTTAGATTAATTTTAGTTCAGTTTGCTAAAACCCTTTAGAGTAGGCGTACACCGTTGATTTTTAGTTGGCCGATAGTTGTGCCCGATTTTAAATTGTATGAAGAATCGGCCAAATCGAATCGGCGTAGTGTGCGCACTCTCATACATGCCCATACTGATCAACTGCCCGACTAAACTATCGGCCGACGAAAAATCAACGGTGTGCGCCTACCCTTAGCCTGAAACCCACAAGTATTTTATTTTACCCTAACCGGGAATATATTGTGTATGCTTATTATCAGTTGGATTCTCAGGAATTTGTTATTTTATGAGTGATAACTATAAAATGATTTCTAATACATTATTATTAGGACTGATATTCCTTAACTTTGCCGATTTTGATATTCCTTAACTTTGCCATTTGGACGCAAATGCAGTTATGTAAGATGTACCTATTCATTTAAATGCTTGCACCCTGCAGAGTATTATCTGCATTAAATTGCATAGGCTGTTACACAAACAATTTGCAAGCAATCTTGCATGCTATCTATTACATGTGATTTAAATTAATGTAAATTAACCTTTAGTTAGTGCTACAATAAACGTAATTTGCTAAAGCCTGTTTAAGAATTACACAATGCTAGGGATAATTGTCTGAAGAAAGTTTATGACCGTCTCTTTGTTGAAGCATTATCAGGAAAACTCATTAGTATTTTATATGTAGGTAGGTATATTTATTTATCAGTGTAGATATAAATACTTATGTAACATCCCATTGTAAGATCGAAAGAAAGATTATAAATGCATGAATGAAAATAGAGATTATAAATCTATCATCATTCCATAAATCTTTTCATTAGAAGATGCAGGCCAAGAGCATCCTCATGGTGGATAAAAAAAATCTAAGCAGAAAACTAAACGCGTATATCGTAAATAAAGCCATTAAAAAATCCTTTAAAACAATGTGGATGTAATCCATGTTTGCTCATGAAACTTCTTGAATGTAATCCAAAGATTTTACCCATTGATGTTAACTGATAATTTTATTTTCTTCCAGGACTCACTACCCCGTGGTCACCACACACTCTCGGCGTCATCACACCACCTGCACAGAGGAGCTCAATCCTTCGACGCATCCTCAAACAGCAGCGGCATATCCTCAACCCACGTCGTCGAGATCCACAGCACCAACGGTTCAGACACCTCCTCACGATGGGGCAACTCCCTAGGCAGCCACGGATCCTCATCAGGCCTCGTCTCCATAGCAACGGAAAACAACAACGTCAAATTCACAGCACCACACTGCTTAGACAATCTTCAACCTGGCAAGGACCAGAAAGACCTACCCACACCCTCATCCACCCCCACAACGTCTCGAAAGTCAAGGAGAAGATCGAATCTCTTCACCCCCTCAAAAAAGGGGGACGATAGACTCAAGAATGGGGAGCTGGGGTCTGGGAGGGCGATTCCCCTGAAACAGGGGTATTTGTACAAGAAGAGTAGCAAGGCGCTGAATAAGGAGTGGAAGAAGAAGTATGTCACGCTGTGTGATGATGGGCGGCTGACGTATCATCCAAGTTTGCATGTAAGTACTTTTCACACACCTACCTACATAGATTAGATTCGAAACATTGCTTCTGATGTTTTTCTGAGGTGGAATTGTCTGATGGATTATGTTTCGAAAGTCATAAGCGTTCATTACGCAAGACTATTGAAAATGCATTTTTGAATTATGTATTTGATTTTAAAATCGCAAATACCGAACTCGAAAAATAAAAATGCTGTGTTTTTCTTATAGATATTATTGATTTGAAGCTCTTCTGAATGAATTGGGCCCGAGTTCTCGAATTATTAGATACCTACAACATTTTTTTGAATGGCACATTATTTACTCGGAAAAGATTATCATGAAACGTTATCAATTTCTCACGAACACGACTGTTCCATTGCGATAGATATTTTTATGAATAAAATTACGTACATTTTATGTCCGTACGATAAAATTAAATATTGAACTAATTGACTAATAATAATAGAGGCTATTAAAAGAAAGCATAAACAATAGAATAGAGTACGTGAAATGTTCCAAGTTCATATTAAATGCGGCGACAAAGTCTAAAATTACCCTTCTCAGTGCGTCAGCACTTACTGTCCCCAGATCGGCGGCTAGATTATGTGAACCTGCCAAAAATAATAAGCGTGTTTACGCATTTTGAGAAAAACATTATGACTATATTCCAAGGGCAATTTCGCAAGAGAATATTATATTCGGAGTACCATTTCGTGTTACCTGTCCGTAAAAAACGTGAATTTGTGCGTACATATAATATCTTTTGCTGGAAATAATAAGCCGGTCTAATTATGGGATATGGAATTATCTTATCTAATATTCTCGCTTTGGTAATTTTGCAGAAATCGCAAAAAAATGTTCTTCAAATTCTCTAACGTAAGCGGCAATTTTATAGGTAAAGACCTAATAATATTATCGCAAAAAGATTTACTCTTCAATTGATCCGCAAATACATGTGAAATGCGATTATCTGTTATCACTTGACACGATTGCTTTATCATTATCAAACAGATGATATAATGTAACAATAGGAAAGTCTATTTACCGTCTAATACAATACAATAAAACTCATTGTATGAACCAATCAGGGTTGTTACAAAGCTTTGTAGTTTTGTTGCGGTAGGTCTATCTGTTTGTTGTTAATTTCCTGGATCATCATTATAATCATCATCATCATCTCAGCTATTGGACGTCCCTGAACATAGTCCTCCCCCAATGATTTCCATATCGCCCGGTTTGGTAGCGGCCTGCATCCAGCGCCTTCCTGCTATCTTTATGAGGTCGTCTTTCCACTTGGTCCTGTGTCATAATAAGCCTGGATTTTTAGCCAATGACTGCCCACTGAGTTATTATTACAAAAAAAATATTCTTTTTTGCAAGATTTGTGAATCGGTATTAGTAAAAAAACATGTTCGTCGGCAGTAGACATAATTGAATTAGAAACGAAAACAATAAAATTGCGTAACAAGAAAAAATAAAAATGATAAATGTCTTGTACAATATTAAAGAAGCATTTTCCAATTTCTGATTCGTAAATAATCTTCAAAGTTGTACACTGATTGAAAACATGCGCAAACGCACAAGTAGGCGGTTCCGCCTTTCGTTTTCACTAGGCCTAGGATGCGCGCCACGATAAACTTTTATCGATTTTACGCGATAAGTCCATATAGTATGGACTTATGCGTTTTCCGATGATTTTAGATGATGATTATAGTAATCATCATCTAAAATCATCGGAAAACGCAGCGTGGGGCGTCCACCCACAAGGTGGACCGACGACCTGATAAAGGTAGCAGGAAGGCGCTGGATGCAGGCCACTACCAACCGTGCGATGTGGAAGTCATAGGGGGAGGCCTATGTTCAGCAGTGGACGTCCTGTGGCTGAAATAATGATAATGATGATGAAAATCATCGATCATACTAGCCTAGAATGCGCACTGGGATATAACCTTATCGAAGCATTTTATCGACTTTACGCGATAAGCCCATGCATTTATCATCTAAAATCATCGATAAGATTTATCACGGCGCGCATGCGTGTAGAATCAACGATTTAGTTTAATCTCGCTCTATTTGTACAATTAGCAACAGATCAGCTAAGCAGTGGTGCGTGCGCATATCGTGTTGATTTTACTTTATTTCAATTAATTAATACCGGTTCTTGATTATTCTCGGGTATTTGTAAAGATTGAGAAAATTGATGTTATTGGATATTTAAAACCGTTTTAGAATAAACTTAACGGTTAAACAGTCCATTTACTACTTGTATGTACATACCTGTTTTACTATGTAAAAGCAATTGAAATACTTAGAGCCGAACATATCTAAATAACTGATGATTCGTAGAAATCGACAGTCAAATATCAACAAGAGAAATATGGCAACTATAGAGGAAGTCTTCCAGTGTCTTGGCCCACTTTTAGCTTGGTCCACAGGCCAAGTCGCTGGATTGAATTTTTAAATAGTTTTCTTCCAATGACTGGGCCCATCTCTTAAATTCTAATTAATTGACTTGTATCTTTTTTTGTATTAATAAAACATTGAATGTGGGCCCAGTCACTGGAAGAAAAACTATTTAAAAATTCAAATCAGCGACTTGGCCCGTGGACCAAGCTAAACGTAGGCCATGTCACTGGAAAACTCCTTTAGATTGCATAAAATTATGTCAACTTTACACTATCAGGGGTAGTAGGGCTAGTAGTGTTAGGTAGTACTTAGTTTAAGTAATGGGTTGTAATAGTTTACGACCGCGGATAAAGAGTTACGTAAACCGTACGTAAACATGCATTTTTGCAATAAAGAAGAGGAACAAGTGTGTTCAACTGATGGTAATTTAGCTGTCTAGCTGGTAAACGATTCAAAAACGTTCGATAACTATTTGAACGATATAATATGACATTCTCATGTTTTTGTTGCATCGCACGACAGCTGAATCACCTAATGGTTCTACATGGGAACATTTACTTCAGCGAATTGTTCATTATTGTCGAACCTAACTTCTAATGCGAGAGACATCTAAGAGGTCCCTAGTCAAGAAAAGGTTGGAAACAGCTTGTTGAGAAGATAGTAGAGCTATTAGAGAACCCACTGGCATGATAAAAGGAATGTTCATTGAATGTTGGAATCTTTTGACGCATTATCTCCTAGGCAAAATGTTTCGTGACAAATTCAAATTCATTTATTTTGATAGTAGGCAAGTAGTATAAACAGCTTTTTTCCATGTCCCTGTTTCGGGACAACAAATGGGCCAGTGCCGAATAGACATAGCAAGAAACTCAGTCACTATTTTTTGATTCTGAAATGGCTTCGCTCCAACTTATATTTCGGAAACTCAAAGCATAATGTTTCTTGAAGCGATCGCAAAATTGAATCTGTCACTTTCACTTTATAGATCGTTTCATCCACGAAGACGCGCCCCACCATTCTTCCTCTAATGTTTGAGTGTTATCGGTACACGCTAAATTCTCAATGAGTCCACACGCACACTACAATATTGACGCTCGGATTGCTCGGATCAAACTCCCGAACCCCGCGCTTCACTCGACCAAAAACTGGTGGGGCGCGTCTTCATGGACTGTCTATATCTACGACTGTTTTTTTAATTATATCAATACTTTCCCAGGATTACATGGAAGATGTGAACGGCAAGGAGATATCTCTTCAGTACGTGACAGTTAAAGTTCCGGGCCAGAAGCCTCGCGGTTCCAAGTCCATCATTACGACAGTGCCGGGCTATAACGGGCACAACAGCCTCGACATACACGACAGCATCGGCGGGCTCTCGCTTGGTAAGTTTAATGACAGTCTTTTGACATTGAGAATGGCAAGGGAGATAGTCTGTTGACATTCAGAACTGATAGGTAGGGACATAAGACCATCTCGCCAAGTACGTCACAGTGAAAGTGCTAGGAGAGAAGCTTCACGTCTCCAGGACGGTATCGGCGGGCTCTCGCTTGGTAATTATAATTTGACATTGACATTGACAACAGTCAGTGACATAGGATCATGTCCCGGTCAGAAGCTTGCTCGTTTTGCTTGGTAAGTTTAATGACAGTCTCTTGACATTGACAGAGCGGTCATGGGTATGTTCATGGTTTTTTGTCGTGGGCGGATGTCGCCACGACGCTTACACACCGCCCACATGAAACATGATTTGACTAGATCACTGCATGGGACAAACTTGACCTTCACTGGTTGGGTTTTATTGGCGGTCAAGCTGTAGCAAGCATTCTGCCTACACAAAAGATGCAGCGGTGGGAACGAGAGTTGGGAATAGTGCCATTAGTTCATTGCATGTATAAAAATAACAATCTTTTTCTGTGAACGGATTCAATTATCCTGCCTACTCCAAATATCAAATGCCAGTCCATTGTCAACATCAAAACAGCCTTATGCTCATGACACATTTTATTCTTCCAGGCTACAAAGACAAGCCGACCCGAGCCACCGACAAGGCCCTAATGTCGGCCTTCGACACGATGAAGGAGCCAGCCACGAGCCGACAGTCGCTGGCGTCCGAAGCAGACCTTGCTTCCACAAACGGAGACAAGGATGTCAAGAAGCGGCATCGCAGGATGAAGAGCAGCGGCGTTAAGAAGGATGGGGACGATGGTAAGGCACAGTTTGATCAACCTAATGTCAGATGAAGGAGCTAGTTATGAGCCGATAGTCGCTGGCGTCCGAAGCAGACCTTGTGTCCACGAACGGAGACAAGGATGTCAAGAAGCGGCATCCCAGGATGAAGAGGGACGATGGTAAGCAGTCTGTACTGATCACCCTAATACTTCGACACACGAAGGGTGATATTAGGGTGATCAGACTCTCACCTGGTGCACCGACGATCTAGTGAAAGTCTAGGGAAGCACCTGTATATACCCAACGTAGCACCAGGCGTGGAAATCTTTGGGGCCATTGGATAGCAGTAGGTATACTTTGGGTGAAACTAAAACTAATTAATTTTGATCAAAATTTGTCACATAAGTCCCAACGAATGAGACACAGCTATGAAGAAACTGTTTAAAACTTACCGAAGGTCTCACGGATCAGTATATTATTTTAAATTGTTATTTTCACCTATCAAAAGTCGCTCCTGCGTGAAGGAAAATTACATAAAATATTCATATCAATAAATCGTGATCCTGTCACTGTTTTTTAATTTTTTCAATCTACGTACAGAAAAACACTTTCTCGAGTTCTATGTTTATATTCTGCTAATTGGGAAACAGCTATTCATTATTTATACCAATAACAAAACACTGCCAATTACAAGTTTTCACTCTTCCACAATACTTCTCTTTTTTATCGCTTTTGACGTGTCGTTACTTAATAACTTATGTACCTATTTAATTTGATGAAATTTCTTGCAAGACAAAAAGTGATGGATAACATAATTCATACAAACCATTATTTTCTTACATAGATGGATCTATAGAGAAATATTGTTTTGAATAATTTATTTCAATAGAAAATTACAACCATTGAACTAGACTGCATCCCACTTAACATCAGGTGCGATTGTGGTCAAATAACTGCCTTGTTATGCATAAAAAAAAATTGAACAATTTCAAATTTCAAGAATTCAATAGATTAGCAGTGTTGTAATTTTGGTGTCCTTTGATCACCTAGGTAATCTTATCCATGGGTGATCAAAAGACACCAAAAAAATGTCGCCTTGAGTATCGACTGTCGCCACACATATTGTGGACCTGAAAATGTGTGGGTTACAGTGGAAATCCTTGGTCCCGGGATGAAGTTAATTGTTTGGCAGACATCTTTTAGCTAGAAGAAAAGTTTCTAAAAGAACTGCTATGCATATTGTCTATTCCAGTATCCTATTCTATATCTTATAATAAAAAAAGAAAGAAAAACTAATTCCCTATCGTTTCCCAGACGGCGACGCGGCATCGTCCTGCGAGTTCACGATCGTGAGCTTAGACGGCAAGCGATGGCGTTGGGAAGTGGGCGCGAGTGGATGTGCGGCGGCGGCCGAACGCGACGCCTGGGTCGCGTGCGTGGAGGCGCAAATCTTGGCCTCGCTGCAGGGACGGGTAAGACCAGCCACTTTATTCTAGAACGCACGATCGTGAGCCTTGATGATAAGCGCGTCGCGTGGGTTGTGTAAGTGGAGGTACAGATACTAGCCTCGCTGCAGGGACGGGTAAGACCAGCCACTTTAATTCTAGAGCGCACGATCGTGAACCTGGACAGAAAATGCGTCGCGTGAGTGGAAGCGTTGATCTTGATCCGGCTGAGGGATGGGTTGGGTGAAGCGCACCACGCTTGGTCTTCATTTAGGAGCGCACGAGAATGAACCTGGACAGGGCAAACCAGTCACGTTGGTGGCATGCGTGGAGGCACAGATCATGGCCTCGCTGCAGGGACGGGTAAGACCAGGCTCTTTATTCTAGAGCGCACGATCGTGAGCTTGGATGGGAGGAACATCACGTGGGTTGTGTAAGTGGAGGCGCAGATCCTGGCCTCGCTGCAGGGACGGGTAAGACCAGGCTCTTTATTCTAGAGCGCACGATCGTGAACCTAGACAGAAAATGCGTCGCGTGAGTGGAAGCGTTGATCTTGATCGATGCTTCCACTCACACCACGCGCACGAGAATGAGCCTGGACGGGGCAAACCAGTCACGTGGGTGCCATGCGTGGAGGCACAGATCCTGGTCTCGCTGCAGGGACGTGTGAGACACGCCTTGTCTTTAATTTTCATTCTAGAGAGCACGATCGTGAGCTTAGTTGAAAGCGCGGGCGCTGGATCGTGGGTGCGACATCCACGGGAAAAGTAGTGAGCGTATACTCATGTTACCTACTCAAAGAAAAAAAGGCAGTCCGGGACAAGTGTGTTCTGTTTATTTAGTCATTGCGCATTGCACATGTCTTGAGCAGTGAGCACACGTGACATGAACTTGTATGAAAGTGCGCACATTGGTATCGGCCGATTTTTCATACAAATTAGAATCGGCCGACTAAAAGTTTAGCTTTCGGGGAGTCTTAGTAAACAAAATATTTTTATTTATTTAATAATTTTCCAGACATCTCGGCAGCCCGCGCCGACCGGTGCTAACTCGACTGGTGACGTGAGAGCCACGTACTACATCAGGCGGGTGAAAGGCAACGACAAATGCTGTGACTGCGGTGCTCCTGGTATGTATTATTTCCTTAAACTGCTGAATCTTCATTATTAATTTTGATAAAACAATAACTCAGTGTTTTGATCTGAGCGACCCTAAGAAGTAAATGACTATATTAATTATTAAATGTATTATGGTATCAATTTAAAGTCTTTTATGCCCGTTTTCACCATCAATCCCTAATTTTTAAGTGACCCATATGAAAACAAAATTCATGTTATGTATTACCATAGGGGTTTCGGAACAAGTAGTTTTACTTACACTAATACGGGTTTGGCCGTTTTTTGTTGTTGTTATATTCTTACTTGTTGTAAGGTAGTCTAGCTTGCAAAGGACAATGACCAAAAGTGGTCCAAATGTCCACCACTAATGAGACCTATATTGGCTTATATAGTCCATTACATAGAGATTAACTTTCAGTATGGGACGAAAAAAAAATAAGCTGTCAGTAAAAAGTTATGACCGTATGAAAAATTGTAGTAGTTTACGCGCTAATCTCAGGAACTACTGGTCCGATTTGAAAATTATTTTTGTTATGGATAGCCCATTTATCAAGGATGGTTTTAGGTTATATAACATCACCCTACAACCAATAGGGGCGGAGCAGCGACCACCCGACCATCATTCCAATATTGTTGTCCTTCTTCTGAGCTTATATATTTTTTTCTTTTAGCGATAATCTAACACGGCACACTAAGCGACATGACATAACATGCATAAATTAATCCAAAATGTGCGATGGATAGAATGATATCAAGAACATTTTTTGGATGAAAAGGTAAAAAACATGACTTTTCATTCAGTCATAACTTTTTACTGACAGCATATTTTTGATTGCGGTTTGGTTATAATGAATCAGTATTTAGTAGACTATTTTACTACAAGGTCTCGTTAGTGGTGGATATTTGGACCACACTCCATACATTTTTGGTCATTGTCCTTACGACTTTTTGCGGCGTCGTGCGATCGCATCGCCATTGTATCGCTGTTTTAAAATCGCGTGTGTCTAAAGGTAAATGTTTTGCGACTGTATGGACGCTGCATCGTGCTTTTATCGCTGCAAAAAGTTGCAATGTAAAAGTGCCATAATTGAGTATTGGCAGGGTGCAAAGCAGGTGGAGGGAGTAGCCTAAACGATCACAGTGCTCGCTGCGGCTAAAATTGACATTTTGGTCGCCGAATTGCTCACAGACTTGGACTTGCTTGAGCTGTCAAGAGCTGTCAATTGTAGACCACTTAGAAAATGGAGACGTCATTGTTTTGGCTGATAAACGATTTCCAGCAATAATATAAACCCTGTTTTAATCACCAGTAAGCTCATTTCTCACTGAAAACAACAATTTAAATGTTATTGGCAATAATGTTACTGACTACCATCGTCCAAAATGGTCTAATATTGTAAAATAACACAAGATTTCATTAATTTTTTCACAATAATTACTTAATTCTTGCTTGACAGCGGTGACAATATTGTCCATAATGGCCACCTGTACGTGGCGCTGTCGTCGCGCTCGGTCCCAATAGGACATAATAATATTTTTGAACTTCAATTAATTCATCATGTTTTATCGTCAGACCCGGACTGGGCGAGCCTGAACCTCGGCGTGCTGATCTGCATCGAGTGCTCGGGCATCCACCGCAACCTCGGCTCGCACATATCGCGCGTGCGCTCGCTCGACCTGGACGAGTGGCCGTAAGTTACCCTACACTGCCTGAATAGTGTTTAAACAATAAGCCACTATTTGCTAAAGCCCGGTCTCTGAGCACGTAGAATTTTGTCCAATGACCCGAAGCTACCCATCCTTATCGCTCGCGCGTAATTATGTTGCTGTTGCGCTCGCACACTCACTGCGGCCGCCCGTCGCACAGTCGCGACAGCAATATAATTACACGCGAGCGATAAGGATGGGTAGCTTGGGGTCATTGGACAAAATTCTACATGCACAGAGACCAGGCTATAGATAGACCACGTGGTTGAGTTTTATTTGACGATCTTTGCTGAGGAATTATTTGCAGCTAGACCGCCAATGTGACCAAGGAGTAACGACATAAAAGTTGCAGACACTTGTTATTGCGCTGTGGGACTTCGCTACCGAGAAATGTCGCTTTGTGTCCCTCACGATTAATACACATTTTTTTCTATGTGGCCCTTATAAAGCTTAATATAAAAAAAACAATAACTTCATAATAATAATTAAACCTTTTATTCGGACAACAGTATACTGTACATTTATCATCACCAATTGGCAAACGGACCTACAGAAAATAAAGAAGCACGAAATATGTATATGAATGAATAAAATTGTTTACTTCATAATACTTACAGGATGAAAAATTTCATTTTTAAAGTTTTAATCTCAATTGTTTTTTTCCAGGCTGGGCCACGTGAGTGTGATGGTGTCGTTAGGCAACACACTGGCTAACTCAATATGGGAGGCGGACCTTCGAGGACACATCAAACCACAGGTCACGTCGTCTAGGGAAGAGAAGGAACGGTAAGTTGGCCTACGAAGTCTTAGTTTATTTACTGGGGTGGTTTTAAATTATTAAAGTGTTTTAATATCCCCTTTTATGATGTTGAAAAAAGAAAACTAGAAATGTGAACCGCGAACTTTTTTGGACATCCATCATAGTAGTGACTACTGATGATTTCCGGAAAATACTAATTTTTGTGTACCATGAACTGAACTTGTCTGTAATAAACTAGGTGTTTTAAAGGTATGATATTCTGTATGTATTAAAAAAAGTTTTGCGAGTGCCTTAGTGTGTATCCTCATAAAATCTAGGTAGTGGGCCGCCTTATATTGATAAAAAAGAATGCGTATGTGTTAGGAGGCTTTGCTAATGAAAAAGGCGTTACGTTAACACACTTTTCAAATATCACACTACGCTAACGACTTTCATATTAGCACTTCTCAAATACCATTTACTCTTTTCAGATGGATCCGGCTCAAATACGAGAGGCGGGCGTTTCTCTCAGCTGGCGACATAGCGACCGGCGTGGACGCATTACGGGCGGCCAGTTCGCGGGGCCAAGTGGCGACCCTTGCAAGAGTACTGGCTGTGCCTCCTCCTCGAGCGCCGTCGGCTACGGATCGAGCATTAGCGCTTAGAGCCGCCGCGGCCGCAGGACACCTCGCTGCCGCGCAGTTATTGATATGGGTTAGTTTTAACGCGATCATCTTACGCGAAGACAGTTTTTGGCTTTTTTTGGCAACTAGCAATAGAATAGCAGATAGCTCGCGGGGCCAAGTGGCGACCCTTGCAAGAGTATTAGCGGTGCCGCCTCCTCGAGCGCCGTCTGCTACGGATCGAGCGTTAGCGTTGAGAGCCGCCGCGGCCGCAGGACACCTCGCTGCCGCGCAGTTATTGATATGGGTTAGTTTTAACGCGATCCATCTTACGCGAGGATTGTTTTTGGCTTTTTTTGGCAACTAGCAATGGATAGTAGATAACTCGCGAGGCCTAATGGCGACCCTTGCGTGAGTATTAGCGGTACCGCCTCCTCGAGCGCCGTCGGCTACGGACCGAGCATTAGCGTTGAGACCCGCCGCGGCTGCAGGACATCTCGCTGCCGCGCAGTTATTGATATGGGTTAGTTTTAACGCGATCATCTTACGCGAGCATAGTTTTTAGCTTTTTTTTGGCAACTAGCAATATGATAGCTCGCGGGGCCAAGTGGCGACCCTTGCAAGAGTACTGGCTGTGCCTCCTCCTCGAGCGCCGTCGGCTACGGACCGAGCGTTGGCGTTGAGAGCCGCCGCGGCCGCAGGACACCTCGCTGCCGCGCAGTTATTGATATGGGTTAGTTTTAACGCGATCATCTTACGCGAAGACAAGTTTTTGTATTTTTTGGCAACTAGCAATAGGATAGCTCGCGAGGCCAAGTGGCGACCCTTGCAAGAGTACTGGCTGTGCCTCCTTCTCGAGCGCCGTCGGCTACGGACCGAGCGTTGGCGTTGAGAGCCGCCGCGGCCGCAGGACATCTCGCTGCCGCGCAGTTATTGATATGGGTTAGTTTTAACGCGATCATCTTACGTGAAGATAGTTTTTGGATTTTTTGGCAACTAGCAATAGAATAGCAGATAGATCGCGAGGCCAAGTAGCGACCCTTGCACGAATACTTGCGGTGCCGCCTCCTCGACCGGCGTCTGCTACGGACCGAGCGTTGGCGTTGAGAGCCGCCGCGGCCGCAGGACACCTCGCTGCCGCGCTGTTATTGATATGGGTTAATTTTAACGCGATCATCTTACGCGAGAATAGTTTTTGGCTTTTTTGGCAACTAGCAATAGGATAGCTCGCGAGTTTAACGCGATCATCTTACGCGATGATAGTTTTTGGCTTTTTTTTGGCAACTAGCAATAGGATAGCTCGCGAGGCCAAGTGGCGACCCTTGCAAGAGTACTGGCTGTGCCTCCTCCTCGAGCGCCGTCGGCTACGGACCGAGCGTTAGCGTTGAGAGCCGCCGCGGCCGCAGGACACCTCGCTGCCGCGCAGTTATTGATATGGGTTAGTTTTAACGCGATCATCTTACGCGAAGACANGTCAGATGAAGGAGCCAGTTATGAGCCGACAGTCGCTGGCGTCCGAAGCAGACCTTGTGTCCACGAACGGAGACAAGGATGTCAAGAAGCGGCATCGCAGGATGAAGAGCAGCGGCGTTAAGAAGGATGGGGACGATGGTAAGGAACAGTTTTCAATTAAAAATTCAATAAGGTCTCCCACCCGGTGGATCGACGATCTAGATCAAGGGAAGCACCTGAATTCTGAGCTCGTAGAGCTGATGGCCGCTGGGGCAGGAAAGTTCTTGGGTGGCGACCACGAGCCTGAAGACGTAGCGTGGGCAGGCCTCCCACTAGGTGGACCGACGATCTGGTGAAGGTCGCGGGAGGTGCCTGGATGCGAGCGGCGTAGGATCGGTCTTCGTGGAAATCCTTGGGGGCGGCCTTTGTCCAGCAGTGGACGTCTTTCGGCTGAAATGAACGAACGAACGAACGAACCTGAATTCTGGCAACGTAGCACCAGGCGTTGTGGAAATGGCCTTTGTTGGATAGCAGTAGGAGTACGTACTTTGAGTGAAACTAAAATTGATTAATTTTAATCAAAATCTGTCACATAAGGCCCAACGAGTGAGAAACAGCTATGAAGACACTGTTTAAAACTTACCGAAGGTCTCACGGATCAGTATATTATTTTAAATTGTTATTTTCACCTATCGAAAGTCGCTCCTGCGTGAAGGAAAATTACATAAAATATTCATATTAATAAATCGTGATCCTGTCACTGTTTTTTAATTTTTTCAATCTACGTACAGAAAAACACTTTCTCGAGTTCTATGTTTATATTCTGCTAATTGGGAAACAGCTATTCATTATTTATACCAATAACAAAACGCTGCCAATTACAAGTTTTCACTCTTCCACAATACTGCTCGTTTTTATCGCTTTTGACGTGTCGTTACTTAATAACTTATGTACCTATTTAATTTGATGAAATTTCTTGCAAGACAAAAAGTGATGGATAACATAATTCATACAAACCATTATTTTCTTACATAGATGGATCTATAGAGAAATATTGTTTTGAAAAATCTTATTCAATGTGAAAAATTACACAAGGTGGACCGACGACCTGATAAAGGTAGCGGGAAGGCGCTGGATGCAGGCCGCTACCAACCGTGCGATGTGGAAGTCATTGGGGGAGGCCTATGTTCAGCAGTGGACGTCCTGTGGCTGAAATGTTGATGATGATGATGATGATGATTCAATGGAGGATTTCAATTGCCAGCCATTCCTATTGTGGATCTGAAAATGTAGGATGGGTCACAGTGGAAATCCTTGGTCCCAGGAGATTAAGAGTAGGCGCACACCGTTGATTTTTCGTCGGCCGATAGTTTAGTCGGGCAGTTGATCAGTATGGGCATGTATGGGAGTGCGCACACTACGCCGATTCGATTTGGCCGATTCTTCATACAATTTAAAATTAGGCACAACTATCGGCCAACTAAAAATCAACGGTGTACGCCTACTCTTAATTGTTTAGGAGATGTCTTTTGGCTAGAAGAAAAATTTTCTAAAATAACTGCTATCCAAATTGTCTATTCTAGTATCCTATTCTATATCTTATAATAAAAAAATAAAGAAAAACTAATTCTCTATCGTTTCTCAGACGGCGACGCGGCATCGTCCTGCGAGTTCACGATCGTGAGCTTAGACGGCAAGCGCTGGCGTTGGGAAGTGGGCGCGAGCGGATGCGCGGCGGCGGCCGAGCGTGACGCGTGGGTCGCGTGCGTGGAGGCGCAAATCCTCGCCTCGCTGCAGGGACGGGTAAGACCAGCCACTTTGAGGCCTCAGCTTCGAATTTGGCGGGCAGCGGGGCGGCGGCGGTAGCGGCGCGGGAGCGGCAGGATCTTATGCGTAAAATCAAATAGACCGGTTCTCGAAAACAGCGGCGCGGGAGCGGGCAACGAGCGGGCAGCGGCGCGGGAGCGGGCAATGAGCGGGCAGCGCACTCCTTCTTTTGCCCACAATAAATCGAGCGTTAGGAATAAATGTGAATCGAAATAAAATTGTCGCCGTTGTATTCGTTTATAGACATTTCGTTTGCGAATAAAAACAAATATCTCGACAACACAACCCCGGCGCAGAGGCGACGCAACCGAGGCGCAGATCCTGGCCTCGCTGCAGGGACGGATAAGAACAGCCACTTTATTCTAGAGCGCACGATCGTGACCCTGGACAGAAAACGCGTTGCGTGCGTGGAGGCGCAGATCCTGGCTTCGCTGCAGGGACGGGTAAGACCAGGCTCTTTATTCTAGAGCGCACGATCGTGAGCCTTGATGGGAGGAACATCACGTGGGTTGTGTAAGTGGAGGCGCAGATCCTAGCCTCGCTGCAGGGACGGGTAAGACCGGCCTCTTCATTCTAGAGCGCACGATCGTGAGCCTGGACAGAAAACGCGTTGCGTGCGTGGAGGCGCAATCTTGGCCTCACTGCAGGGACGGGTAAGACCAGGCTCTTTATTCTAGAGCGCACGATCGTGAGCCTTGATGGGAGGAACATCACGTGGGTTGTGTAAGTGGAGGCGCAGATCCTAGCCTCGCTGCAGGGACGGGTGAGACCAGCCTCTTCATTCTAGAGCGCACGATCGTGAGCCTTGATATGAGAAACATCACGTGGGTTGTGTAAGTGGAGGCGCATATCCTGGCTTCGCTGCAGGGACGGGTAAGACCATCCTCTTCATTCTAGAGCGCACGATCGTGAGCCTAGACAGAAAATGCGTCGCGTGGGCGGAAGCGTTGATCTTGGCCTCGCTGCAGAGACGGTTAAGACTAGGCTCTTCATTCTAGAGCGCACGATCGTGAGCTTGGATGACAAGGCGGAGACAGGCTGATCAGGAGTTAAATTGCTTCATAAAGTGCGACAGGTGGGTGGCATGTGTGAAGGCACAAATTCTGGCCTCGCTGCAGGGACGGGTGAGGATAAGCTTCGCTTTCATTCTAGAGCGCACGATCGTGAGTCTTGATGATAAGCGCGTCACGTGGGTTGTGTAAGTGGAGGCACAGATCCTGGCGTTTGCTGCAAAGACGGGTTAAACCACGCTTCGTCTTCATTCTACAGCGCACGATCGTTAGCCTGGACAAAAAAAGAGATAGGTGAGCGCACCACGCTTCGCCTTCATTGTAGAGCGCACGACCGTGAGTCTGGAAGGCAAGCAGACAAGCTGATCTTCTGATCAGCCTTAATCAAATCAAATAACGTTGACAAAATGCACTCTATTCATGATAAAGTATCATTCGTTTCCAATTGTTCATAGCGTCATTCCAGAACGCAAGTACCTAATTAAATTAAAAGTAACTTACTGACGCAGCGACCCAAAGTGAGCCTTGGCTTCTGACACTAAAATCTCCACTCGGTCTGTTCTGCGCCACCTCTCGCCAGCCATTGCGCGACTTCGTCTCTCAAACGGTACTGACAACCGGTCGACGGTTACTTGACTTACTTGGCCGTCCGGCCCAAGTACGCTTCTCCCATACACAATCCTCCTATTCCTTCCAAAAGATCGAGCCAGCTAAGTCTTTTATTTCGCCAATGATGTTTTTATTTGTTTCATAATAATTAAACTATTTAATAAACTTTCCAGACGTCCCGGCAACCCGCGCC